AGGGAGGGAGGATCCTTCCAAATGTGGTTGACCACCAGTTGGAGGTGGTCCAAGTGTGGTGTACCACCAGTGGTTTAGTCAACCCACTTGTGGTGCCCCCACAATTGTGGTCCTTGTGTTTGGGGGCTCCAACCACAATTGGGTTGGATTGACACCCCAACACAGGTGTACACCCAACTAGGGATGTAAACACAATATACACAACTAGCATAGCATGGTATATTCTAACAAGTCCAACTCCAGGTGTCGAAATGAAATACTGTAGAGCGCGTAGAAGATCTAGCCGATTCTCCCCCTCGGGTCGACGAAAAAATTGTGTGAGCTGGCTAGCGGCATAGGTGAGATCCGGACGACATGTTAATGCTGCGAATAGAAGACAACCCAACTGCTGCTGATAAATATGTAGTTCTGTGTTATCGAGTGGAATAGTATCGGGTTTGTAGTCCGTAGGTAGAGATCAGTAAAGTATGGTTACTATTAAAAGTGTGAGATTAAAGCGTGCGACTAGTGTAGCTGCATATTTGGAAGCTGTAAGATGAATAGTAGTGGGCGTGCGGTGAATATTAAGTCCAACAAATTGTGTGACAGTAGGTGTATGTCAACTTATACATATCATGAATGTAAAAGTTATAGGCTAGTATCGGTGTGTGCTCTTAGTGAGTACAACCCAACTGCTATATGTTCCCTGTTTTCCCTTCTAGTAAATTATTCAAGTATTCTAACATGGTATCGAGTAGGTTAGGCCCTCCCACCCGCTTCCGCCCGCGCCCTAGGTTAGCGCCCGCCCGCCCCTTAGAGCCCGCTCGGCCCTTAGCGCCCGTCACGCCCGCTAGGCCCCCTTCGCGCTCACTAGGCCCCCGTTGTGCCCGCTAGGCCCCCCGTCGCACCTGCCTCGCCTCGCCACGCCCGCCTGGCTCCGTCGAGCCCGCCTGGCCCCGTCGCGCCCGCCTGGCCCTGTCGCGCTAGCCTGGCCCCTTAGCGCCCGCCTGGCCCTGTACCGCCCTCCTGGCTCCCGTCGCGCCCTCCTGGCCCGTAGTACCCTCCTGGCCCGTAGCGCCCTCCTGGCCCCCGTCGCGCCCGTAGCGCCCTCCTGCCCCGGTGGCGCCCTCCTGGCCCCCGTCGCGCCCGACTGGGCCCGTCGCGCTCGCCTGGCCCCCGTCGCGCCCTCCTGGCCCCACCGCGCTCACGTGTCCCTCTCGCGCCTACCTGGCCCCACCGCGCCCGCCCGGCCTGTTGCGCGCCCCGGCCCCTCCTAGTGACCGCCCGGCCCCTCCTAGCGACCGCCCGGCCCCTCCTAGCGACCGCCCGGCCCCTCCTAGCGCCCGCCCGGCCCCTCCTAGCGACTGCCCGGCCCCTCTTAGCGCCCGCCCGGCCCCTCCTAGTGACCGCCCGGCCCCTCCTAGCGACCGCCCGGCCCCTCCTAGCGACCGCCCGGCCCCTCCTAGCGCCCACCCGGCCCCTCCTAACGACTGCCCGGCCCCTCTTAGCGCCCGCCCGGCCCCTCCTAGCGACCGCCCGGCCCCTCCTAGCGACCGCCCGGCCCCTCCTAGCGCCGGCCCGGCCCCCCTTCCTAGTGCCGTCCGGCCCCTTTTGCGCCCGTCAGGCTCCTAGCGCCCGCCCGGCCCCATCGCGCCTCTCCGACTTCCAGCGCCAGCCCGGCCCCTCCTAATGCCCGCCCGGCCCCTCCTCGTTCGTGCTCGGCCTGCCGTGCCACCTCGGGCCCCGTCTCCTCTGCTCGCCCGCGCTGGGGCGCCTTGCTGCCGCCCTGCTGGAGAGTGCTGCCGCCGTGTCCCCGCACCGCTGTGCTCCTGAGGAGCTGTGGAGCTGTGCTGCTGTGTCGCTGAGGAGCTGTGTCGCTGACCCTGCATGTTGGCTGAATTCGTGCTCCGTCTGGACGCTGAGGGCCAAGCACTTGACTTCGCCGCCTGGCTCTATGACCTCTGCCGACACCTTACAGGTCAGCGCCAGGATGGCCACTCCTTGGTCGTCCATGCTGATGGCTTACTCCCCCGCCCCCCTGCACCTGCTCCCCTCCCTGCTGACCCCTCCTCTGATGACTGTGAGGCCTTTTCTACTGCTGCTCTTACCTGTGCGGTCTGGGACTCACGCAATGCAGTAGCTCAGGTTGCTATCAGTCACGCCCTCCGTGTTGTAAGAAATAGAGTTGAAATGATTGACAAGGTAAGGAGCCCAAGGCTCTATAAGTACATGGCAAGGTGAGAGTGAATGGATGAAGGGGGAATTGGAGGGAATCCCCATTGGGATCTCCGGAATCTCCAATTGGGTAATTGGAGATTGGGGGGATCACAATTGGGTGAGGTTGGGATTTGTGAGTACACCCCAACCCACTAGAACATTCATAACCTAAACTAGGATATAAAAGTACAAATACAAAAGTGGTATTTGCAGTCTATTTCTAACACACCCCCATAGACTGCAAACCCGGTCAAGGAGCACATAGCCCCATGGAACGGAGAAGGCGATGGTGGTCAGCCTTGCCGAGAGCCTTGGTAAAGAGGTCGGCGAGGTTGCAATCTGAGGCGATGTACCGTACCGTCAACTGGTCACTATGAACAAGATCTCGGATGAAGAAATGAACAAGAAACTCAACCACTAACCGCGGAGTTAAAAAGGGCTTGTTAATAGCGGGTTAGTGCCAGGGCTTCAGATTGGATTTTGAGGGGCTGTTGGCTCAGGCTGCCCCCAGCAGGACTAAAAAAATTCAGAGCTAAGATGATAGGGTTGAACCTTGGCGATTTTTTATGGTGGGTAGGAGTTTAAATGTAAGACAGGGCATGTTTCGTCACGCAAAAAAAAAAAAAAAAAGCCTGATTAATCATGTACATCTTCTAGGTTTCTGATCCTTAGGTGGGATTGGACTTCACTACGCACAAAGTGTCACACCACCAGCGTGATTTTGGCCAAGGACCAGTCACGACCCTCACACCTGCGCCAACTCGCATCAGATTGCCTGCGTGACTATGGCGAAGGACCAATCACGCCCCTCATATCTGCCCCAACTCGCGTTGCCTGCGTCATTTTGCCTAAGATCTAGCCACGCCCCTCACACCTGCTTTAGCTCGCGTCAAAGTGCCTGCGTGATTTTGGGGAAGGACCAATCACGCCCCTCACATCTGCTCCAGCTTGCGTCACCTGCGTCATTTTGGCGAAGGGCAAGTCATGCCCCTCACAGCTGCTCCAGCTTGCCTGGACCAGTCAGATAGGATTCCATTTCAAGCTGGAAATCCTTTTTAGGCTGATAATTCAGGGTAACCAAAACAATAACATACAATATTTAAAGCCTGCTCAAATGAGAACCCCTAAAATTCAGGCCTAGGAAAAATCAAAAGCTGAAAAAAAAGGACGACAAAAAAAAACACCCTGCTATATAGCATTTCCTGGCATTTTATTATGACCTTTGAAGCCCTGGTTAGTGTTGGTTAGAGAAGGCTATAAGCAGATGATTCAATGGCTCCTTGGAAATTTCTGCAGCACTTCGTTATGACGCCCAGAAAACCCGCGACCTTCGAAAATCTATATCCAAAACTCCAATCGGTGAAACGATCTGAAAACTGGATATGTTATAGCTTGCAGCGTCAGCTTTCCACTGAAAATTGAGTCTCTCGATTCCGTAGCGTAACGAGTGAGCTATGGCGTTCGGCGCACTGGGGGGTAATCTGCCCTAGGAGAAGTTGACAGTCCTCAGAGTCACTATAATTGAAGCTTACAAGTTCAAAGGCATGATGGAAAAGGCATTGAAGTACAGTTGGAAGGTGGGGTAGGAAGGGAAGGATGAAAGGGGAGGACCCTGGAGGCCAATGGTCAAGAACATGACAAGAGTCAAAGTCTTGACTCCCCACCCTCAGGTTCAGCCAGCCTGGCAAGACAAAATTCACACTGTACCAGGTTGGCCTCCAAACCCCAAATGCTGCAGCTGCAAGGTGGGGACAAAAGTCCCACACATGCTGGTCACTCCTCGTTATAGGGCTCTCCAACTTGGTGTAGCAGCTGCCAAGGACTTCCAATGAGTTGTAACAAATCCATCAAACATTTCTTCGTAACTCCATATGTGCTCCGATTCCAGCAATTCTTGGCTCGTTGGAATGTGCTCGATGTCATGCACAATCCAAGCACATCTGCACAAGCACAAGAGGAACATGCAAAGACATGCAAACCCAACAAACCATACAAACAATGTAGCACACAAAACACATGCAACGAAATGATGCGAACAGACGACAGGATGACGTGCAAACGAATATGCACCAACACACTCCCCCTCAGACTGTCGGCTTGTTTTGCCGTCTCTAGTTCAAGGACATTCCCGCCATCCTCGCACAGCGCCAGTGTGGCTCTTCAGCTAGCCGCTTGGTAAGGAAGTCGGCTGGCTGTTGCTGAGTTTTCACATACATCGGATCCAGTGTCCCAAGCTTCACCTCCTTCCGCAGCCAATGCCACTTGATCCTCATGTGCTTGTTCAACCCATGAAGAACTGCATTGCATGCCATGGCAATGGCTCCTTTGCTGTCACTGAACAGAGGTGTCGCACAAGTCTGTTCATGGCCGATCTCCTTCAAGAGCCTCCTTAGCCAGATGATTTCTTTTGCCGCATGAAACATCGTCATGTACTCAGATTCCACTGAAGATAGTGCCGTCTCAGACTGCTTCTTGGACCTCCAACTTACAGGCCCACCTCCCACCATGCAGATGTATCCACCTACTGATGATGAATCCTCATGTTCAGAAGCCCATGTGGCATCAGCAAAACAGGAAAGGAACACCTTTCCTTCTCCGAGCTGCTCCCTCTTCTCTTTGAGGACTTCAACTCCCATTTGCCTGAGTTGAGCAGAGGCTGAATACTGTACTCCCACTGTAGGGTATAACTTGAGGTAGCGCACCACTCTCTCCGCTGCACCATACTGCTCTTCTGTTGGATTTTGCACTACTCGAGCCAGCTGTCCCACAGCAAAGCTGATGTCAGGACGAGTATGCACAGCAGCGTAGAGTAGGCTCCCGACCATGGATTGGAATTGCCTCTGGTCTTCACACTCAACTCCTTCTCCTTCAGCTGCCTTTATGAGTTTGAACTCGGAAGGCAAAGGTGTGACCACTGTCTGTTCTTCCTGCAGAGAGTACTTCTCAGCCAAGGTGTGGATGTACTGTCCCTGATGCAGTTTGAGCCAGCCACGTTCAGTATCCCGCTCAATGTGCATTCCCAGGTAGTACCTTGCCTCTCCAAGTGACTTGCACTTGAACTGTTCTGTGAGCTTCTGCTGCACCCCATCGATCTCCTTGTCACTGCTGCTGAAGAGCAGGATGTCATCCACGTACACAAGCAGAAGCACAAGCGACTCCCCCTCGCCCATCAGGAATAGGCTCTCGTCGCATGCACTCGCACGGAATCCAATCCCTTCCAGTGCACTGGCCAGGCTGTTGTACCAGCATCTCGGGGCCTGCTTCAAGCCATAGATGGCCTTGTTAAGTTTGCAGACACGACCGATTCCATCCTCATAGCCAGGTGGTTGAACCATGTACACCTCCTCTTCCACAATGCCGTGCAGAAAAGCGGTTACGATGTCCATCTGCTTCACCTTCCATTTGCGCACAGCAGCTACCGCGCAGCACACGTAGCGTTGGAGACTTAGCAGTTGGGGCAAACACTTCTTTGTAATCTTCCTTCTCTTTCTGTTGAAACCCCTTTGCCACCAGCCTGCTCTTGTAAACTGATGGCTCTCCTTTCTCATCCGTCTTGATTTTTGCCAGCCACTTGCACTGTATTGCCTTCTTCCCATTTGGCAAGTACACCAGGTCCCATGTGTGATTCTCCATCTGGCTGTTGTACTCTGCATCTCTTGAAACAAGCCACTTCCCCCGTTGAGGCCTGGCTAGCGCATGATCCATGCTCGGAGGTTGTATTGGTGCGTAAAAGCAGTATGCAGGCTCTTCGTCATCAGACTCTTGGTCATCACCCAAGAACAGCAGTGCATCTTCGCCTTGAGCCTGTTCCTGCTGCTCTGTTGTGGCTCCTCCACTTGTAGAGTTCAGCAGCTTTCTTGTTGCCATTCTGGTACGTGCAGGGTAGATGGTTGGATTGACCCATTCTTTCACCTTCACCCAATCCTTTGTCCCCCCACCAATCTGTTTCCTTCGCTTTGGCAGACTTGGTGTTTTGGAAGCCTCTTGCTGCTGCTGCTCCGGATCCTTGACTTGAGTATCAGCTGCAATATCCTCATTGCTTCCTTCATCAGTACCGCTTGCCGTTGGTGCAGTGACTTCGCTGTTCTCAGGTTCGGACACATCGAAGTGCATAGTGATCTCTTCCAGCTGCTGGGTGACCCTTGCCTCTGGCTGCTTCTCCCACTTGCCATACATGATGTTCTCCACAAATTTGACATCCCGACTGTCAAACAGCACATTCTTTGAGGGCTCCCAGAGTAGCCACCCCTTGCTCTCTGCCGCAAGCCCAAGGTGCACACACCACAGTGCAGATGCTCCAAGCTTTGTCCTGTACGGTTTAGGGACATGCGCCACTGCCATGCATCCGAACACTCTAAGCATGTCCACTGGAGGCTTCTTTCCAAGCCACCTCTCCAGCGGCACCCACATATCATCAGCCACCTTTGTGAGTACGCGGTTCCTTGCCACTGTAGCATGCCTCACCGCATGAGGCCACATGGAGTTCCCCAGCCCTGATTCGATCAGCAGCGCTCGCGCAGTTTCCAGGATGGTCCTATTAGCCCTCTCAGCAACGCCATTTGACTGAGGGGTATAGGACGTCGTTAGCTGATGCTCAATGCCTTGTTTCTTGAGCCACGCAGTCAGATCTCCTCCTAGAAACTCTCCACCTCGGTCGGTTCTGATGCTCTTGCATGGGTGCCCAGATTGTCGCTCGACCAACGGCAGCCAGTCATCTCGGATTGTTGAGGCAGCATGATGCTTTTGCTTCAACGGGTATGCCCACATCAGCCGACTCCAGTCATCAACTATTGTTAGGAAGTATCTTTCCCCCTTTCTTCCTTGAACTGGAAAAGGTCCTACCAGGTCCATGTGCACCAGTTCCAGTGCTGCCTTGCTTTTCCCAGCTACGCCGTGAAAGGGGAACCGTGTGAACTTGCTCAGCAGACACGTCTCGCACTTGGTATCATTTGGTTGCCCAGAAAGCTTCAGCCCCTTTACTGCTTCTTCCTTATGCAGTTGCTGCAGCAATGGCATAGCCACATGCCCTAGACGCCTGTGTGCGGTTTCCCAATCAGTCTCCCCCGACCTTGCAGAAACCGTCACTCCTGCAGCACTAACTGCATTGCACTCCCCCTGGACTCCAGATCCCGCCTTTACTGCTCCCAACTCCTTCTTTGTTGATTCCCATATCAGCGCAGGGATGTGCCACATGGATCTGAAGACATCTCTGTTTTGTTAAATCCCATAACACACGATCTCATCGCAGCCCCTTGAATGTTTTGGATCCATTGGTGGTGGTGCTGACTCCGGCCTGGCCTAGCTTGCGCAGCGATATCAGATTGGCCTTCAGCCCCGGTACGAGTAACACGTCCTTCAGCACAACCAGTCCACCATCAGGTGCTCTGAATACAGCTCGACCAACTCCAGCGATCTTCACTGCATGTCCAGATGCTGAGCGCACTTCGGAGATTGGAGGCGCTCGCACAGCATCCAGCAATCCTTGCGTGGTGTCATTGTCCATGCAGCACCAGAGTCCATGACCCACATGTCAAGCGGGTGCATTCTCTCCAGCCCTTGCAACAGCTGTGCCACTGTCATCTTTGTCACACACATGGTAGAACTGTCCAGCATTCCTCTCCTCATTTCCCATTCCTCAGTCGTCCTTGGAGGTTTCTTCAGCAGGATCAGCTACCATATTGGCACCTCCATGTGGTTGCTTTCCTCCATTCCCCTTTTGCGATTGGTTCCAACGGGTCCACCAGTCGGGCTTGGTAGAGCAGCGAAACCATGGATGCCCTTCTTCCTTGCAATACCAGCACTCTCCCCTCAAGCGTGGTTCACAGTTGTCGTTGTTGGAGTGACCACCTCTTCCTCTTGCACCAGCGCCACCACGCCCCCGCTGGTTCCAAGTCCCGCAACCACCTTGGTTGTAGTAAGAGCGACCGCGATTGCCACGCCCTCGATCTCTCCATGTCCCTTGCATGGCATAGCCGCTGGTGCTGTCATCACCTCCGCGCAGTGTATAGCGACGAAAATCTTCTTCCAGAATCTTAGTGCAATCCACTCCAATGTCCATTGACTTTGGTTTTGTGGCAAGCTGAGTCCGCTTATAAATTGCAGCCAAGACTCGGGCAGCAGGCTGAGCATCTTGAGACACTTAGTCTGCTCGGGTACGTGATGCCAGCAATCGCCAATTTCGCGTAGAGTTCCCTCATCTTGTCCAGTACGGGCTGCACAGGTTCATTCTCGCTCAACCGCAGCATGGACAGCTCCCGATCCAGCATGAGAGAAGCGGCAACCGATGTCGGAGCGTGCAGGTCCTTGAGCACTGCCCATGCCTTGGGCCCACAATCAATTTCCGGTAGCAGATGCATGATGTGATGCCTCTGGTTCAGCTCCAAGCTTTGTGACAGTAGATAATACCCAGCAGATGAACGTTCATCCCAGTCCGCTCGCTCTGCATTTCCTTTGGCCTGGCTCCGTTCCAATCATGAGCTTCAAGAGGCCAATTTGTCGAAAGTAGAGCTGCATCTTCCATGCCCAATCATCATAGCCATCTCCAGAGAACTTCTCAATGGTGAAGTCTTCAGCACCTCCTTAAGCAGTGACCCCTGGCTTGTACGCGCTCCCCTTTGCGCTGCAATGCCAGAATCTTGGGTTGAGCTGCCTCCTTGGACTGAAGTATCACCTCCACCAGAGTCCTCTTATCTCCCATCGTATTTTAGGTCCCAAATGCGTGATAATGGGCTCTGATACCACTTGTTGCTAGAGAAGGCTATAAGCAGATGATTCAATGGCTCCTTGGAAATTTCTGCAGCACTTCGTTATGACGCCCAGAAAACTCGCGACCTTCGAAAAGCTATATCCAAAACTTCAATCGGTGAAACGATCTGAAAATCGGATATGTTGTAGCTTGCAGCGTCAGCTTTCCACTGAAAGTTGAATCACTCGATTCCGTAGCAACGAGGAGCTATGGCGTTTGGCGCACTGGGGGGTAATCTGCCCTAGGAGAAGTTGACAATCCTCAGAGTCACTATAATTGAAGCTTACAAGTTCAAAGGCATGATAGAAAAGGCATTGAAGCACAGTTGGAAGGTGGGGTAGGAAGGGAAGGATGAAAGGGAAGGACCCTGGAGGCCATGGTCAAGAACATGACAAGAGTCAAAGTCTTGACTCCCCATCCTCAGATTAACCAACCTGGCAAGACAAAATTCACACTGTGCCAGGTTGGCCTCCAACCCCCAAATGCTGCAGCTGCAAGGTGAGGACAAAAGTCCCATACATGCTGGTCCCTCCTCGTTATAGGGCTCTCCAACTTTGGTGTAGCAGCTGCCAAGGACTTCCAATGAGTTGTAACAAATCCACCAAACATTTCTTCGTAAGTTCTTCATATGTGCTCCGATTCCAACAATTCTTGGCTCGTTGGAATGTGCTCGATGTCATGCACAATCCAAGCACATCTGCACAAGCACAAGATGAACATGCAAAGACATGCAAACCCAACAAACCATACAAACAATGTAGCACACAAAACACATGCAACGAAATGATGCGAACAGACGACAGGATTGTCAGATATCGCTTTCCGAAGTTTGCATATTTTCCTGGATGTGATCACGAAGTGCTACTGAAATTTCCACCAAGTCCTACTTTCATCAGCTAACTGCCATCTTTCCCCATCAGCTAACTGCCATCAGCTAGCAGCAGCAGCACCAGAAGGAGCAGCAGATGCAGCAGCAGCAGCAGCAGCTGCAGCAGCAGCAGCAGCAGCAGCAGCAGCAGCCGCAGCAGCAGCAGCAGCAACAGCAGCAGCAGCAGCAGCAGCAGAAGAAGGAGCAGCAGCAGCAGCAGCAGAAGAAGGAGCAGCAGCAGCAGCAGCAGAAGAAGGAGCAGCAGCAGCAGCAGCGGCAGCAGCAGCAGCAGCAGCAGCAGCAGTGGGAGCAGCAGCAGTAGCTACAGCCATCCCCATCCTCCCCTCCTCTTTGAGCCACCGCGGGTCCACCCGCCGCCGCTCCCTCCAGGCCACCGCGGGTCCACCCACCGTCGCCTTCCTCCCACTCCATGTCACCAATGGCATCCTATCCCCCTCCTGTCGACATTTCGACCCTCGATCATTTGGTGCGCGCTGCCGACAACTCAGCAACCAACTGGTATTCCTTCGTCGGCAGCCTCCACCGCGTCCTTGGCAGTGCATATGTCCTGCCGTTCCGCCTCTTGGACATCATGCTTGGTCTCCCAGAGGGTGACCTTGGGGACCCGCCGCCTCACCCTGGCGATCCCCCCCTCTCATTCCCCATCCCGGCGAGGAACCTCTGCCCCCCGTGGTACCCGTTGGCACCAGCACTCGCGCTGCCACCGCTGAGGTTGAGCTGCTCTTTGTTACTCAGCGTCGTGAGTTCCTCGTGCTCCATACTGATTACCTGATCGCTTTGGAGGAACACGAGCGGTCGGCCACCCTCCGCAACCAGCATGCCGCTACTGCCGCCGCTTATGCCGCTGACTCTGCGCGATTTGCCGAGCGTAGTCGCGCTTTGCTCGAGGTGGACAGCCGTGCTACTGGTGCCCTTCTCCTTGCCATCCCGCCTGCGCTCATGCGCAACTTCCAGGCACGTCGCATCGGCTCCCGCCAGATCTGGCTCGAGCTTGAGGCGATGTTCAAACGCACCGACTTCGACACTGTTGGACCGCTCTTCAAGGAATACTTCAGCATCACGATCGAAAATAGTGCTGGCGCCGTTGACTACACCAGCCGTCTCCTGGACCTTGCCTCCCACCTAGAGGCTCGCCAGACTACTCTCCCCTCCAACCTCCAGATCTACCGTCTCCTCCAAGGCCTCTCCCCTCAATATGAAGTGCGCGTCATCCCCTTCACTGAGGCTCAGCCCCGTGCCTCCCTTGACACTGTGGTCCAGTGGATCATTGACGCTGAGGCCCGCCTCCTCTCAACCCCCCCTTCCGGCTTGAACTCCACCGAGTCCCCAAACCCCCAGCTTGCAGTTGCACAGCCAAGTCGTGGAGGGCGCCCACGTGGCGGCCGCACCAACCCTCAGGGAGGGGGTGGAGGTGGCGGTTGTGGGGGCAACGGAGCCGGCGGCGGTGGTGGCAGGGTCGAGGGTGGCAGTAGTGGTGGTGGTGGTGGCAGTGGTGGCTCATCTGGTAGCCGTGGTGGCCGCCCTGGCACTCTCCCCCCATGTTCCTATCTTCGCCGTTTTGGTCCCAGGGCGGGTGAGCGCTGCACCCAAACCAACCATCCCCCAACGACCTGCTTCAAAGCGTATGATGACGCCTGGTTCGAGCGTGGCAACACTGGCACACCCCCACGCTGGTCTGCCATGGATCCCCGCCCCTCTCTCCAGGATGTCAAAACCCTTCCGTCTTTCCTCCCTTCTCATCTTCAGCTCTCCTCCTCCTCCTCCTCCTCTATCGCTGACCCCATAACTCCCCAGGAGCTGCAGCAGTTTCGCAGCTTCCAGCTGTTGGTTATAGAAGGCTATAAGCAGATGATTCAATGGCTCGGAAATTTCTGCAGCACTTCGTTATGACGCCCAGAAAACCCGCGACCTTCGAAAAGCTATATCCAAAACTCCAATCGGTGAAACGATCTGAAAATCGGATATGTTGTAGCTTGCAGCATCAGCTTTCCACTGAATATTGAATCACTCGATTCCGTAGCTTAACGAGTGAGCTATGGCGTTTGGCGCACTGGGGGGTAATCTGCCCTAGGAGAAGTTGACAATCCTCAGAGTCACTATCATTGAAGCTTACAAGTTCAAAGGCATGATAGAAAAGGCATTGAAGCACAGTTGGAAGGTGGGGATGGAAGGGAAGGATGAAAGGGAAGGACCCTGGAGGCCCATTGTCAAGAACATGACAAGAGTCAAAGTCTTGACTCCCCATCCTCAGGTTCAACCAGCCTGGCAAGACAAAATTCACACTGTGCCAGGTTGGCCTCCAACCCCCAAATGCTGCAGCTGCAAGGTGAGGACAAAAGTCCCACACATGCTGGTCCCTCCTCGTTATAGGGCTCTCCAACTTTGGTGTAGCAGCTGCCAAGGACTTCCAATGAGTTGTAACAAATCCATCAAACATTTCTTCGTAACTTCTTCATATGTGCTCCGATTCCAGCAATTCTTGGCTCGTTGAAATGTGCTCGATGTCATGCACAATCCAAGCACATCTGCACAAGCACAAGATGAACATGCAAAGACATG